TCCTGTCTATTGTTGATGTGAGGACCCGGTCAGTCTCAGAAGAGCACTTGGACCTATAAGACCTTTTGATACTGGAGCAGAGGCCCTGTCAGCCATTGATACCAAGGGCCTCTTGGTACCAACAGATGCCGAGAAAACCCCCATTGGCCATCGACACCATGGCCACTTGATCTCAAGACAGAGGCCCTGTCAACCATCAACACAGGGCCACTCAATCCCAAGAGGCTGCTCACTACAAAAGAGAGCTGCAGTTGACCATTGACGCCAAGGGCCACTCAGACTTGAGAGGTGGTTCAATACTGAGACAGAAGCCTTGTCGGCCTTTGACACAAGGACTATCTGAATATAGTCCATTCAATATTAAGAAAATGCTCAGATCCAAGAAAGCAGTCAACCCAAGGGGGAGCCCCTGTCTACCATCTCCATAAGGCCTGGTTGCATCACCAGCCTCCTGTCAGTACTGAGGAGGCTCCAGGGCATCCTGCAAGAAAGACTGCAATTTTCAATCTCAAGAGGACATTCAAGTCTACGGACGTTAACAGAGATCCTGCAACAATCAGGGACATCCATCCCACTGGCACCACTATGAGGACATGGTACCAACCAGACAACACTGATGATGATCTTCGATGCCACCAACTGTGAGATCAAGAATGTCCTCTTCATTGTTGGATACCAAGGACTATGTGTCCCACTCAGACCTATATGCATCACCCATCACCACGCAGGATCCAGTGCTTCCACTGGATGAGATGGGGAAACCCTCCAAACAGGCCCTATGAATGGCAAATTCCCTCAGTCTCTAAACACAGCAGCTTGGAAGATAGAGTCGTGGACCCTTTCTTTGACACCACCTGCATAGAGGACTCAGCTCCACTGGTGATACCATTCCTGCCTATGCTGCTGCAGATGATTCATTAGAGGTGGAAGGTCCTTGCAACCACATACGCTACCTCTGGTGGCTTGAAAGATGTATTGGATCCTGGAAGGAGACGTCCTGTTCATCTTCCAATTTGGTCACTGTTGAACCTGCACAGGCCCTAAGGCAGTGCCAACCTTGGTGCCAGCAGAGCAGAAGGGCTGACACCTGGACAGTATGGTGAAACAGGCCTAGGTGGCTCCAGCGCTTGGCCTCTGAGTCTCCAGCTGCAAGGCTACCATGGCCTGCTACCAGCTGCTCTTATGGGACACAGTTGGGGCCATGTGTGACCACCTCCCTGATGACTACCCAGAACTGGCTCAGGTGTTTCAGTCAGAGGCCACAAATCTGGCTCATCAGCAGACCTCCTCAGCAAGGCACCATGTTGACTGGGACCGAAAGGCAATGATAGGCACTGTAGTCACTGCAAGGCATGCATGGCCAAGCTCTGCAGTGCTGCCATTGGAGAGCCGCTACTGCATTGCGGACTTCCCCTTCAGTGGGAGGGGGGGCTCCTCACAGTGTGTATGGATGAGCACATGGACTACCTGTGGAAGACCAGGATGATGGTAAGGAAGATGGGCTTCCGAGAATCATCCGCCAGACCTCATAACTGGTTCAGGCCCCCCAGCCTTCACACTAGCACAAGGCCTGGGCCAAGCGTACATCCAGGATGCAGGCAGCCCCGCTCCCCCAGGCTAGAGTGTGTGACACCGCAGTCCACTTGAAGCAAGGGTGAAAGCACCCAGGGTGTTGTGTGCTGAGTATCCCTCCCTGCAGTAGCAGAATCTCCACTGCTTCTTGACAGATGTCTTCATTTTACACATAAGTCTCTGAGCACACACAAAGCAAAATGTTGAACCCTCTGCACCCCCCTTCATCCAAAGCTTTGCTGAGGAACCCTTCTGTGTCCGTCTCAGGTGGGAGGTGCACTGCGGAAATGGGCATGCCTGCATTCCTCCCTCCAAGATCCGAATTGGGCCATCCTGCAACTGTGATGACAGACTTTTGGGTTCACTTCCTCAGGAGGCTTTAGTTCTTCATCCAATAGACTCCCCATCTCTAAGTCCCCCACCTCAGGAAGTTGTTGTTCTTCATTCCCAATGGATTGACTGGGCCCCTCGGCTGCCCTCAAGCTAATCTCTTCCCTAGCAGGCACAGGCAGGTACCCAGGGCTTTGGACTGCAGCTGGAGCTGTGTCTGTTTCAACAACCATCTCATTATCAGAGCCCAAGCTGTCAGTCCTGCTGGGATTGGCCAAATGCCTTTTATAAGCTCATTCTCTGAGTCTGAGCTGTCAGGCCAAAGTGGTCAGCTTCTCATGATATCATGAGACTGGGGCAAAATCCTCCACTCTAACTCTCTAAGTCTCACAGCATGGCACATTGTGCCATAAACTCTCAAAGCTGATGCTCTGCCACAGTGTGTCCGCATCGTTGATGCTGCCCTGAAACCATCAGTGAGAAAGTCATGTGCAAGAGGAAGCCCTTGACCCATGGGTTGCCATGACTGACCCTCCAATATCTATACACGCTCTTCCCAAAAGGAAGAGCTTTATCTGCTAGGGCACTAGCAGCCTGGATTGTGCTACCACCTTCCCAGCCTACTAGCTGGACGGTCTACAACTCTTGCCCCATCCAAGAGCCTATTCCATATGAGCAATGGTGCCACCCACAGCCCTCTTCATGGGAATTCCTTTGCAGCGCCTTTGCAGAGCAGTTGCATGGTCCACACCTTCAACATTTGCCAAGGCCTACAGGCTAAATTTCTGGGCAAGGGCACACTGTCCCTTTGACAGAGCAGTCCTCCCCATGACCTTCCAGTGATGACCCCATCCCACTGTCCTCTCCAGGGTAAACTCACTAGTCACCAGTATGTGTGACGCATAGAGGCCCCAAAGAAGAAAGTCAGACTGCTTAACTGTAACTGTCATTTTTTCAGTGGTTATCTATATGTTCACACAACCCACTCGCCAGCCCCACTTGTTGTTGAACCAGAGACAGCTATCACCCCTCTGCAGGAGGTACAGAGGCCAGACCGAGGCAGTACAGCACTCCTCCCTTGGTCCTGGGACCTCTAGGTGGTCTCAGTGGAACTGAGGGAGTGGGTGGGAGCCCCCCATGGATGCTGGGAAAGGAAGGGGAGGGGTCCCCTACCAAACTAACGCTTACCTGTAGAAACTTCCCTTCAACAGGCTCCACACAAGCACAGATGATCACTTGCAAAAGGACAGCTACAGGTAAGTTACCTGACTTAGGGAGCCCTTGAGAAATGGACCCGGATGCTTTGAATCTCCCTTTTTTGCCTGGTCGCACTGTCGCCTTGCATTAGGTTTCCTTAACTAAACTAAAATTCCCATATGTAGTTCTGCATGTTTTTTCTGAGTGCTCATAAAGCTTGGCATGCTCCCCCGCTTTTATTCACCATGTTAACTATTCTTCTCTTGGACCTTTGGTTTGTAATAATATTTTCAGTTTAGCGATAGTTTTTTTGATGAATGTTTTACAGTTCTGTAAAGCGGGATGGACAGGAAGTCCCCTCCCCACTGCTGTTATGGGGACTGGATGGACACATTCCCCATCCAGCTGGAAGGTATTCTGGTTAGAAGATGGGAGGGCCCAGCCAGGCTTTTGCATCCAACAGAAATAATTCTCCTCCTCCTAGCCCTTTGCTTTTTGTAGACAGAGCTTAAGTGGAAAGGAGCCAGCAGAAAGCCACAAGAGGTGGGGGTCTGAGTTGCCCCCACTAGACCTTCTTCAGGCCGGATAACATCAAGTTGGCGGGGCCACTCTCGCTGATGCCATCGCCTCACCCATTTTGTTTTTGAATATGCTGAGGGAGGCATGGCACTCCGGCAGCACTTAGAAATGCTCTGGGCAGGCCTCACAGGGACACTGTTCAAAAGGCCTTGGACAGTTTTGGGAAGAACGACTCTTCCTGCTGACGTCAACCCCAGTCTCCTGCTTCTCAGACTGCTGCCACCAGGTGGGTGGTACGCCCAACACAATAGTTCAGGGCATGCGCTTGGCTGGCTCTGAGGGAGGTAGCCACTCCTCGCAGCGCTGGCGGCTCACCCTCTGCAGCCCCGCCACCCTGTTGGGAGGAGAGCAGTGCACAGGGCAATCCCACATCCGCAGTAACAGCAAGGCGCCTCTAGGGAGTATTTCTCCATGGGTTGGATGGAGGTTTTCCATTTGTGTTGTACAGATTGAATCTCAGCACACATGCACCTTGCCAGTTCGTCCCAGACAGTCCAACCCATGACAGATCACCCCAAAGATTGCTTTCATGTCGTACGTAAAGAAGAAAGTGGATGGCAGTTTGGCTGTGGATTTCTTTTCCAGAACAAACTTTGGCATCCGCTTGCAAGGCTGTCTTCTTACCCAGTTTTACCAAATGTACCGGCTTTCACTGGGCAGATGTTCCCAGCTGAAAGTGGGAACACTTTCACGGGCCGAGTGGTCACAGTAGTCGAAATGTGCACTTAGTACATTGAAACAATGGAAGAGGGTGGAGTTGCAGTCCTGCACAGGCATACCAAGCCCCGTTCAGCACAGCAGGATTTCCTTCTGAGTGATCAGGCTAGGATTGCATGGGAATACCTGATGGCTGGTATGTAATAAGAGGGCTGATTCTCCAGCTGAGATGAGTTATTTGGACTTGGTATCTAAAATATCTGATGGAGTGGATGATGTGCCAGCAGCCCCCCTGGAGTATGAAGTACAGGAAGCAGGTGGCAGTTAAAATGTTCACCTGATCCAGCATGGCAGTGCTTACTTTCTTAAGCCATAAAAATCTGTAGCTGAAACAAGAGGCATTTCCTAGGCAGCGAAGTTCTTTTGTAACTTTGATTGCAAGCCTTGCAATCGGGATGGTTCTCAGCAGTGCGTCACTGTTGCATATCTGGAATGTATGATACAATTACGGATGCAGTTTGCTCCTGCTGGAAGCCTGTGGTAAAACTCTCTCTGTTAACGTGTCTAAGTTGCAGGCTCAGTTATTACTGGTGAGCCAATGTGATGTGACTGGATTTTTGAAATAGCCCCAATATTGGCTTACTTTTTTATTTTTTTTTTCCTAGGCAGCGCAAATAGTCCTGATTTCTCTGTTTGAACTGAACACTCCTGAGTTTACCATGTTACTTGGTGCCTTGCCAAAGACATTTCAGGATGGTGCTACCAGGCTACTCCACAACCACCTCAAGAACTCCAGTAACACTAGTATGGTGAGATGGTTATCCTGCTTTTCCTTAAAAACCAACGACAGGCATTTATTCTCGCTTATCTGCTCATATGCACAAAGCTCTAAAAATGTGCCCTCTTGGCTTCATAGGATTAATACAAACATTGTGTTGAGACAAAGCAGGCCCCATTGTTATAAATGTACATAAAGCACCTATACCTTTTCAGTTGTGTGCTTTTACAAGAAGCTTGGCATTGCCCAAATTTCCCCAACCTTGTATCCTCCAAATGTTTCCCAGTCATTATGGCCAATGGTCAGGATCTGGGAGTTGATCTGCAGCATGTTTGGAGGATGCCAGGATGGGGAAGGTTGGGCCAGAGCTTGGAAAGTGAGGCAATTATAAAATGCCAATTAATATAGCTGATGCTTAGGCCTGGGTATGAGTTTTAAGGTTCATAATGGTCACCCTCAAAGAAGAGGTGAGAAACAGGAGCAGAATGTAGGCTGATGGCACATAATGACAGGGAAGGGGGCAGATCTCATTCTCCCCTGCCCTCTAACTCAGCACCCTGGTCTGTTGCATGACAGTGTTCCAGGATGTGGGCCCGTCATGGCCTTTGAAGAATGTAGCTTTTCCAAGGGGTACCAGCATTTCAGCACCCCTTGTGAGTCCTGCATTCCCACAGACCTGCTATGCCTTTCCAAGGGGCAGGATGGTGCGTTCTCTAATCCCAGCACACCAGACTGCAGAGAGGGAGATGGTGGAAGCTTTCCTCTCCCTGCAGCTGGACCAAGTGCCTCTGGCCTTCCTGCCAGACAGTAAGGTAAGTTTGAAGGGGAAGGTATTCAGGGCTATGTGGGGCTTAAGGATAGTGATTTACAGCTTCTGAAATTTGACTTCCTCGGGAAATAAGACCAACTATACTGGAGGAGGTGTTGGTTTTTTCTGTGTTTTTATTTTTTGCTTTTTAAGTACCTTGGGTTATTTTCTTTAGAATATTTGTTAAGCTGTTTCAGCACAAACCTAGAAGTTCCCTGGTTCCCTTGCAAAGTTCAGAATTATTGAACCAATTGCTGTTTAGCTAACAATAAACTGAAGCTCAGTCCAGACAAGACAGAGGTCCTGTTGGTGGGTGGTTTGGGCTCCGGGGTAGGTGACTTGAACCTCGTCCTGAATGGGGTTGCACTCTCTCTAAAGGACAGGGTCCGCAGCTTGGGAGTGCTCCTCGACCCAGAGCTGTCTTTGGAAGCTCAAGTGACTGCAGTGGCGAGGAGTGCTTTCCTTCAGCTTTGGTTGATCCATCAGCTGCGTCCCTACCTGGAGAACGATTGCCTGGTGACAGTGACACATGCATTGGTTACTTCCCGATTGGACTTCTGTAACACGCTCTACGTGGGGCTGCCCTTGAAGACAGTCCAGATACTTCAGATGGTGCAAAATAGAGCTGCCAGGTTGCTGACGGGGACTGGGCGTTGTTCTCATATAACCCCAGTCCTCCGTCAGCTTCACTGGCTCCCCGTCGAAGTTCGGGCCCAATTCAAGGTGCTGGTTATTACCTATAAAGCCCTTAATGGCTTGGGACCTGGTTATCTAAAGGAGCGCCTGCTTCCATATTTGCCCTCCTGCCCCTTGAGATCGGTGGCAGAGGCCCTTCTCCGGGAACCCTCCGTGAAGGATATTAGGAGGGTGAGTACCCGGAGGAGGGCTTTCTTTGCGGTGGCACTCCACTTATGGAATGCACTCCCCAGAGAGGTCCGCCTGGTGCCATCGTTATTTGTTTTTCGGCGCCAGGCCAAGACCTTTTTATTTAAATGATATTTTAATAATTATTAATATTATTTATTGGTTTTAAAATCTTTTAGGCAGGATGAATCCAGATTTTATATGTTTTTGTCTATATCACTGTTTGTTTATAATGTTGGCAGCCGTCCTGAGGCTTATGCAAATGGGACGGCATACAAAAATGCCAAACAAACAAACAACTGTTTATATATTTTATTTTAAAATTTTATTAAAATTTTATTTTTGGACACAAGCAGGTTACTAACAGAAATTGATTACTACACAATATAGTAATGAGCGCAAAATTGTACAGTACATTGTTTTTTTCTTCTTCCTGTGACACAGTATTTGATCCCTTCTCCTCTTCCTCCTCCTCTTGCATCTGTACTAGGGTTCCCCTAGCAATACTGTTGGCCGAACTCCTTCACGTCACCCTAGCAGCAGAACCAGCCCCTTAACTTCACCTACCAACTGTTCTCATGGAGGACTGTCTCCAAGGTAAGGCTGTAGCTTCATTGCAAAGTTGATATGTCATGAATCTGGAAGACCTTCTTCATAAAATGCATTTGGCTGGAATGTACCTCTTCAAGGAGCAAAAGCCAAGTGTATAGCACATTTGCTCAGCTTTACAACTAGTGCAGGAAATGAAGCTCATCTGTGCCTTATTAAAACTCTTCATTGTCCTTTAATGAATTTTTTTTGCAGAGAATACCAAATGTCTATTTTGAAGACCATGTCTAAAAGATAAGGCTGCATCTGCAGTTTTGAATTACAGGCACGTCATATATATGCAGGGACTGAAACTTGCCTACATGTGTTTAGAATTTTTCTGTATTGCTGTACAATTGAATTTTAATTGTGTATGGAACGGTGCCTCTCCAGGGAAGTCTAGAAAATGAGAGGAAGAGTTTTGGAAGTACACTGTTAATACATTGGAGAGTGAGCTTAACAGTTGGACTAGTTTGTTTCTTGGTGGCATGTGTAAAATGAACATGAGAACCAAGGGCAATTAAGTTGCTGCTTGAAACAGTCAGGTGACAAACAGGTAGGTTAGAATATGGCAAGAATGTCACAGTGCTTCAAGCAGGAGATGCCTCTGGGTAACAGAGAACATTCTGAAAGGAGGAGGATGAAGCATTTGAGATTGTTTGGGGTGGGGGAAGCTGCCAGACACATGAGCCATGGCCAGCGGCCAATCCTACAGAATGAATGGTGTGATAATGATATGCCTCTTCCCTGGTTTTGAGCTTTTGCTTTGCTTTGCTTGAGTTTTGTTTTTGTTCGTTTTCTTGTTTTTGTTCATTCTGCAACCAGAGAGGTAGATAGCAAGCACCTTGAAAAGATTTGTGAAAATGTTCAGACCCATACAAGTAGAGAGGTAGACTGGATTAGTGTCCCTGTGCTGGAGTGAGGGACATGCACAGTCCTCTGTAAGGCTTCATTGTTTGGGTAGCCTGGGCAGGACCAGGATCATGAGCAGCATCCTGTGCATTTGCCAGTGGGCGCCCATGGCAGTTGCACTACATTATCCCACAAACCACTCACACTTGGACTTCGATAGCTGCACTGATGAATGGCATAGTTTCAGCAGCAAAACACCACAGCTTGAAACATGGGGGAGATGCAGTTTTCACACAACGGAAGGGCTGCCTTGAGAATAGACATTTGGATCCTTCAGAACCGCTGAGAAATCACTGCTGCAGAAGCTTTCTAATACATTTTGGAGTGATCCCTGCTCAAACAGTACCCAGTGTGAGCAACTGGAGGAACCTCGCCTGCTAAGCCACATACATCAAGGGTTTTAGCAAAAGAGGCCAGTGGAAGATGAGTCACCGAGATGCCATATTCATGCTGGATAGCGAATTTTATGCATGCCCAAGTTTGCTCATAGTGCCCTTGCAGTCTAAATGAAGTGTTTTAACGATCTCTTTTGAGACACTTAAAACACTTAAGTGTAATATCCAAGGTGCACATTTTAAGCAATACTTTGATGCTGAAGGAAGTCACTGCACATTAACAACATGGATGTTGTTGATCTCATCATGAAGTGGTTTGGCTGCCATGAACAGACCCTTTAGGGCTTGCTCTTTGTATTGCAAAATCCCCAGGGGATGTTGAAGACATGGACCCATCCTCCTGCAATAAGCATTCAAGGAGCTGCTATCTTTGGACCCCTTGCCCTTGTCTTGCCCCCCTGGAAAGCCTCTCCTCTGAAGAGGAGAGGAGGAGGACCAACCTGGGGCAGGACTCCAGTTTAGCTGTCAGGGAGGAAGGCTCCTGAGCCAATGACGGGCCCTTCCTAATGGCTGGATTGAAGTCCTGGCCCTGAGCTCAGTGCTTCCCTCTTCAGAAGAGGAGCCTTGCTGGGCAAGCGTCTTCAACATGCTCTGCTGATCCCTTTGTTGTTCTCCCAGCACACCCTGCACAGAGCTCCCTTCACTGCAGCTTGTAAGTGGCCTTTCGACATGAGGTGCAGAAATATTGAATCCCAATTTGTGGGAGTGCAATCAAGTGCTAAATACATTTGCCACTGAAACCTCTTACCACCTCTTGGAACTTGATCAGTTTACCTAAATTAAATGCAGTGTGCATTTGCTATTTGCTGTGTTATTTATTACATATGCCTTTGGCTTTGTGTTTATACACTTTTGTTCTTGCATAATCAAACTCACACGCCCATATGAAGACACACACACACACACGTCCTTAGCACAAGCACAGGATGTCCATTTTATGCTTGCGCACTCAGAAGTAACTCCTGTTGAGTTCACTGGACATGAATGCTGCTTGAAAGTCATTTTAAACACCATGATCTATGCTGTGTATAGGATTGCGGTCAATGTATCTCTTGTGGTACTTTTAAAGTAGGGTTTAAGTAAAGTGTATATTAAGGTTAGGGTGGGTTTTATTATATTTGAATTACAGATATGAGACACTTTAAATAGGACTCTGATTTTAAAGGTGCTTCCATACAATTGTCAAAAGCGTAAAATGGATTAGTTCTTCTGCATGTCTCTGAGCATCAGGCATGCAGGTTGTGCTCCCAGGTGAAGCCTTTCCATAAACTGTCAGGAACCGTCAGCAGGAGCCCTCCCAGTGCAACTCCACTGTCCTGGTCCACGTCTCCCTAGTGGGTCCCAGCCTTTTAGGGAACTAACTACCTGTGGGGTTGGTTTTCCATTAGGAACTAATTCTGTTTTCAGATATTTTAATAGTTACTCCGTTGGCTGTGACATTTTATTATCTAAGGTATTATCTAGTCAGGTGTACATAACATACTATGTTCTGTTGAAATATCTGAAATGCTATCATTGATCTAGTAACCCTAAATTCTTCTTGCCACTTTGAATTTTGTAATATCTTTTATTCTTGGGAAATCTAGTCAGTCTTGTTTTTTGTGTTGGGAGAGATTTTCATAGATTCAGCACTTAGAAATTCCTCAGCATAGATGGAGGCTAATATGGTAAATAAAATATATTCTTGCATTAGGTCTAGAATCTGGTTTCCTACAAACTTGAGGGCAATGGCCCAACAAAGGAACTTCTGAAGTAAACAAAGTGTGTGTTTGTGGGTGTATATGGATACACAAACAGGACAAAGACATTCACATGTATATACACATACATTCAAGCGCATGTATGCAAGAACATGTACCTTAATCTCTTTTGTTGTTTTTTTTTCTTTACCATTTATGCCCCACGTTATAGGTGTGTTGCATGTTTAATTCCAAACAGGCTTCTTGTTGTACCCACCTGCCACATTCATACTGGCATCTAATACCCCTTTGTTAAAATACCTGGTTTTCAACCAGCTACTTTTTATTTCTGATGCTTCCATTGAACCATCCTTTGCTGCTTTCCTGCTCCCGCTCTGAAATGCTGGCAGTATTGTGAGTTGTTTTAGTATTTCTTTAGTTCTGTCTTTTTGTCTGTGGCCTTTTTTGCATTGTTAATTTTGTTGCTGTTGCTATTCTTGAATGGTCAATCATGCAAATGCTACAATTACCTGATTTAGGCAAGTCATAAGATGATGCTTTTGGAGTTTTAAACTTACTTTCTGGGAATTTTGTGACAAATGATATCTCATTGCTTTGAAGTATCAGGATGTTTTCTTGCAAGAGCGTTACATTTTTGGGTGATGAAGTTGGCCACTTGCATGATTATATTGTGATAGGATATGTGAGTTGCTCTTTAAAAGTTGAGGTCGCATGTTTTTGGATGATCAGCTCACAGGTAGGTGAGATTTGAATGTCTGGGATTTATTGTCCTCCCCCGCACCTTCTCTCTGTCTGTCTCCTTCCGTCCATCTGTCCTTCCTTTCTTTCCCGAACATCACTGCTGATTCTCTCTCTCTCCCTCTCCCTCTCCCTCTCCCTCTCCCTCTCTCTCGTGATTTCCTTGGTGGTGGTGCTCACAGAGACACTGTTGTGACATACACTAGAACTATATCTAACTTCCCATTTCCAGTCTTACAGCATTCTTCATTTATTTACACACCAGTGTGACCTTTGCCTATATAATGTACTTAAAACTCAATAGAAATGAAATGACAAACGGAATACTCCAGCAACTCCAGAAATAAATGTCTGTCCTGACATATGAGGCTGACCCAGAGGGACTGCCCTGGTAGCATACGGCAGGTCCCATATTCATTCTTCCCCAACCTAATAGGTCTCTGAAACCATTAACAAACATATTGTTTGTTTGTTTGAACTAACATATTGGTGTTAAGCTCAACACACTGCTAGCCTTACTTGCATGTGCTGGTTAAGAACTAACTGGTTTAATTTTAACATTTTTTTTTAAAATCCTGCACTGTGGTTAAGTTTGAAGATGGAAAGGAAGGAAAGATCAGGAAGGTCAAATGAGTGAACAAAGACAGTAGGAGGATGGATGAGGCCTTTCAAAGATCCCAGCGGATACTAAATCTGTTACACCTATTCTACCCCGCTCTCTCTCAGTCAGTCGCTCTCTCTCTTGCTCTCTCTCATATTCCATATGATTGATTTTTTCAGTAGAAAGATAACTAAAATGAACAAGAAAATACAAGCACTTTCACCCTTGATATGGAAAGGCATATGGGTTTCAGCCTCCTTGAAACATTCCTGAGATTCCTGAGTCCTCTTAATGTACCTAAGAGAAGATACAGCACAATAGACATTTGGATTTGTTTAGTCAAAAAAGTTCATTGGGAGAAACTGGAGAACCGATTCTAGTCCACTTTAATTGGAGACAGAAGGACAATAATTCTGAGCACCTCTTTGCTTCTGAGTTCTCAAGAGCATCACAAGTCACCTTTCAGAATACACTGACCTTTTTTTCCCTGGCTTTACATCAGGGCCTTGAACTTACCTGGTCTGTTCAGTTCTGGTCTTTTTGCTGCAACTGCTTCTCTTCCAAATGTTAAGAGCGAAGCTGGCATAATAAAGAAACTGCAGGTTTTGATACAAGGGGAGTTGCTGGTGACCATAAGCATTTCCTTATGGTCCTTAGAGGTATACAGTGAGAGGATCAGGGACACTGTTATAATGCTGAGAAAACTGCTAGACCTTACTGCTGGATATGCCAGTTATGGACTATTCCTGACAGCTGTAGATGTGTACATAAGACTTAGTGACCATCAGCATTTGGCTAGCTGTGGCTAGCTGTAGAACATTCTGTTACATAGGTGAATTTGTTCCAGATACAGATTCAGCCCATATTTCTTAAAATTAGCTAAATGAGTAGAAACTGATCCCAGAGAAAGCCGATGGCCAAATTTTCATTGATTTTTAATTGTAGGATCTATGTTGTGAAATATGCAAATAGAAACAAATGGAAGCTGTCCTAAATAACAGCATCGATAGGTGTTAAGTATATTACTGGACGGCAACCTGCTTAACATGAAGTGAATCAATGGAGTATTCCAGTCTTGATTTGTTTCTATTAAGTTCCTCTCTTGCTGAGAAAGCATGACAAGACTCAGCCACTCAGATTATAGTTTTGTTTTCTCCCTTTTTCTGTTTCCCCCCTTCCTTTCTCTTTTTTCTTCCTGTGATCACTGCAGTCGTTTCTGGGGTTGGAGTGCAGACGGGCTGTCGAAGCACCCCCCTCCCCTTTTTCAGCCTAACTCCATCCCCGCCGCTCCTTCTCACAAGACTTTCAGGCGCTCTTACTCTCCCAGGTAACAAACTACCTGTTAATCCAACTTGTCAGAGGTGTCACAATATTATTTACCCTTTGTCTCAGTAGAGTGCTTCCAATCAGATAGGTCCAGGGGATGTGGAGAGGGGCACCCCCTTCTGGCTCTCTGCTTTTATCTGTGGAGAAATCCTTTCCCCATCTCTCTGCTGCCGAAGTGCCGCCTGCCAAGTCACCACAGATACGTCAGCACGTATTCCTCTTCCTTCATTCCTTCTGCTGGAAACACAGCAATAAAATTGAGGTCAGGGCTTGTGTCAGATAAGCAGGTCTCCTGAGCTCACATCCCTTAACCCATTTCCCCCTTAGTTTTGGGTATGCACTTAAAGCCTGGGGTAGAGTCCCATGCAAGAAAGCATGTGGTGACATGAAATAGGCAAGCAGGGACCAGGAGTCAGTGAAAGCACTTTGCCCTGATAATCAGGCAACATAACTAGAGCAATATGGATGAGCTGTTACTTGGAAATTATACTGGCCACACTCACACAACATGCTAAGCCACTGTGCAAATAAGTCCCCTCATGAGAGTTCACAAAGCCAGGCATGGTGCTTCTGACAGACTATCGGGCTCACCATGAACCAATACCCCCTTCCTTCTGCCTTGAATGAAGCTGCTTCCATCAGCAGAATGGGCAGGGGAGCAATCCCCCCCCCCCCGCCTCGCTCCACTCATGCCCTCCAAATCTGCTCCAGAGAGTTGGGCAACTCTAGGGAGCAGGTGGGGGTGGTGGGCACAAGGGATTGCAAAGGGAAGGAAAGGAGGAGTAAGTCATGCCACACAAGTGGACTCCCAGTTGTGCCATGCTGAATGCGAGCCGGTATCTGAAGCGTCACGCTGCAGCAAATTGTGCAGTTTCAAGCATCCAGCTCTGTGAGAAGAACTGAGCAATTCAAACGGTGAAATGAGAAGAAAGTGTTGTTTATTTTACGGGGGGAGGGGGAGAAACCCCTAGACAACGTACTTTTAAGTCATTTTCTTTACAATTACATGAGGGGAATATAATGATAACAGTACAAATGTACATGAGAATAAGAACTTTTGAACAGGTTCCAATTGTGTCAGCCAGCAGAGAGGTAGAGCACTGGTATTTGGAATAACTTTCCTTTACCCTTGAGATCAGCTTGTTTTATGTGAGGAGGTGCACGAAAGGTTCCAGATATTGGCAAGCTTCATATCCTGACAAGTGTGTTTTTTGGAGGCTGTGGCAGTTGGAAAATAATATTGTGACATCTGTAAAAGTCACACATCTCTTCATTTTTTGTTTAGCTTCCAGTTTTCTGCATGAATCACTGTTTTCTATCTTACGTGAGTGATAGGATGTATTTATTTATTTACTGTAAATGGATGTTGTTTCATCATTCATTTCTTTCCTCTCTTCCCTCACATTATCTACATATCATGCAGTTCCTGTACTGGATAAATGTATTTGCTTGCACATGTCAGTATTCTTAAATAAATAATAATCCAGAAACTGTTTTTGTTACTTTCATGAGCTATTTTATAATACTTCATTCTCAGGTTATAAAAATAGGTTCTTCCCTTGTGGATGTTGGATGCCACTGGTATTTTAAGATTTCAAATAAACTCCATTCCATGGTACAAGTAATATGACATAACCCAGACATCTGTATAACGATGCTCCTCAGATGTTATTGCTTTGGAATAATAAACTCTGTTTGAAATAACTCTTTATGAACTGCTTCACTGCAATATACTTTTTATTGCTAAAAAAAGAGGCTCAGATTCCAAAGTGATGCCACCCCCTGTCTTATGAACTGGGACAGGTAGTGTTCCCAGGCCAAGAAGGCCGTCACTGCCAGAGCTCGGCCCCTTGCCCTGAATAGCCTACATGAGGAGGAACAACCAGTGGAAGGGGGGGAAGCTAAATTAGCAGGGATGTGATGTTTGTAGATGCAGTTCCTTCAGCTTAAGCTTGGTTTCAGTGGTACATGTGTGATGGTGTCAAGAGTTTCGCAGAAGATAAGTGTGAAGGAAGGTTTGAAGAAAGAAAGTCAGAGGAGAAGAAGGTCTGAGAAGAGAAAATGAGGAAACCTGAGATGCCCAGTTTTGGACATACTGAACTTGATACATTGGTATTAAGATCTGAGCTACAGTATGACATGGACAATTGGAATTGTGGGACTGGATGGAGGATGAGAAGGTCCAGGAAAGAAGATGTGTGTGAGGGTGAAACAGAGGAAGAGAAGGTGGCATTGAATGCTTCTAGCATTTTGTGAAGTTGCCCACTGTAGAAAGAGGCTTCACGGGCTCAAGAGACTTGGGTTTTTTTTTTTTTTGTGGGGGGGCAGGTACAGCTGAGGATTATCCCCAAAAGGAAACATTGAACAAACCATGTGAGTGGTAGGAACAGTGCCAGCCATCAACTGGAACAGGGGATAATCAACTGTATCAAAGGCAACAAAGAAGTTTTCAGAGCCCTTTGTGTGTTCAAGGCCTTTGGGAAGCTGATGTGAATGTGGATGTCTGCCTTCTTGTGTTCATCTCGCCCATGAATGGAAAAACTGGCATACACACATTTTGGGGCAAGTTGAGGCTTGTCTTAGGACTTAAGGAAATCTTGCTGAGAACTGTTTCAGTTAGCACAAAACATTATTTGTCATGCAGGGATTACCAGAGTTTTGTCCAATATCCATCAGGGAGTCATTAGCTTAGAGAGTTCATTTACACAAATCGTACCCATCTTGTGTTCTCATGGCTGAATCATATGGAAAACCTTAATTGTAACCTTTTTGAGCCCAAAGATGTTTGCGGCATTGCAACTCTCGCACCTTTGTAAAAGCTCTTTTCTAACCCCATGCTGTTCTTAGGCGCACTCTCCCTCCCTCCCTCCCTCCCTCCC